ACATCAAAATGTAATAATACATTTGTAATATACTTGTGAGACAAGTTCACTGATTGTTTCTTTGATCTGAAGCTAATACCAGCACAGGCCCAGTAGTCACTTTTGCTAATAGGTTATAATGGATGGCTGCTCTACCTCCCGCTTGCAAAACGTAGCAAAGCACTTCACAGCAGGAAATTCAACATTGAAGGAAACATTGTGGTTCTGAGACATTGTTCAAGTCTTATGTCATGTTTCTCGAGATTCTCAGGTCGCAGGTGCATTTGCATTAATTTTGCAAATGCAACACTACTGTAGGTGGCACAGTCACAGCAAAAGTGCACGATGTCATACAAGAGGAACATCCTGCTAATCATCATCAGAATTTTTATTATTTGAAGCATTTTTTTTTTTAAGCTGGAAGGGTAAACACATGAATATTCTATAATCACTGGATCCTTAAACTTTGACATTGTTTTTACCTCTTTCATTAACAAAGCCTCTGCATCCCCTCTGGTTATATTTTTGTTGTACCATCTGTGAGACGACAAATTAACCACAATTAAACCAATTCTATAGAGGACAGAATGGATTTGCAAGTACCCACATGTTAACAATTTTCAACACAGAGAACAGAAATGAAATAAAACTCACTCAAATCTCTCAAAGTTGTTGCAAGATTTTTCTGCTATGAAAGTGCTGGGCACAAAGCCTGTGTTCCTGATGTGGGATCAGAAAAAATGTACATCAATAATCAAGCTGATTTGAAAACAAGCGCTATTACTTCTCAGCGTAAGCAAGAACTAAGAATGGACGGCCATTTCTATGTGCCTTACCCTTGGTTGTCCTGTACGGCCCACCACTCAGGGTGGGAGCTGTTAATCAGGACGTACTCCTGATCTTTCTGAAGAGGTAAGTCATCGTCTCCCTGAGGTGTGTAGTCCTGCAGAGCAATGACCATCCTCTGTCTTGTATCATGCAATTCCATCTGTCAGAGATAAATTAAAAAAAAAAAAAAGAAAAGCTTCACCTAGAAACATGGTTCCGTTATTATTGAGCAATATGAGAAAGAATGAGAAGACCCCCACAGAAAAGGACTCAAACATCATCACAATGATATCTGGGTTATGTTCCACTGAATTATAAGTGTTATGTTTACAACAGGTAGCAAATGTCAGCAGTAGAAGAGGCCTAGAAGATAATGAACCAAGACGCAAAAATGCAAAATCATCTGTGCCCCAACCACAGGCGCACTGGTTGAAAAAAAAACATATTTAAGATGTCCCCTAGAGCAGTCTTTAAAATATGGCATCCATAATGCGAAATAGTCCTGAAAACAACGACAACTTATAGCCAAACAAGTAAAACAATAAATATCAAAAGAGTTATTTTGTCTACACCCTGTAATTGGAACAGTGTTGACTTGAACATCAATAATATTTCAACAACAGGACATATAATTTACGCTTTAGAAAGTGCTACCTCTGGATCCGGGAGTTGAGGGAGTGGCTTTTTGGAAGCTGTGGAGAAATCAGAAATATGAGAATGTTTCTGACAAATCCAGCTGTCCAAAATAAGGTTTTTATATTTGATTGAAGTTATGCAACACCGGTAAATGTAGATCCGTATCAAGATTTGGCTTAACCACATGTGCATAAAAAATAAGATTACTTAACTGCTCATGTACATTTGTATAAGAACATTTCATGCTTTATCAAAGACACAAATTAGAAAAAAAAACATATGAAACAAGAGGTGGAAGTGAAGAAATAATACAAACCAGAGGCCTCTGGATTATATACATGACAACCTGTTGCCAGTTTCTCTGTTTGTTGGCAGCATCTCCATTTTCCATCCATCCAGAAGTTTGGGTGGTATTTTGGAACCAAATTGTTATGCTTTGTCTCTATATCAGACAAAATAAAATAAATAGTTTGGAATATCACGCTTGTGAATTTGCATTATGTGAAACCCAGGGTTTACTATTATTTATTGCACTGCTATCATTACTTAAACTGTGATGGTCTGGAATTTCTTACCCTCTTTGAGAGCTCTGACCCATCTCTGACGGCAATCATTGTCTGGGGCGAAAATGTAGAGGTAATGGTTGTCGTGAAAAATCTGTGGAGACATTTGTATTTTAGAAAATGAAAATACATCACATTTACTGCATATAACACTATATTTAATTGGTGCATATTTTCAAGTGTGCGTTCTTTGAGCAATCGTGGACCTCACCTGAAAAGGGTACTTATAGTTGCATGGTATGGGGACATCAGTGCACACAATCTCCACACACTTAATTCTGGAAAGCTCGATGCAACCTTTCATCATGGGCTTTTTCTGAAAGAACATGATCTTTACTTTATGTTTCCTCCACACAACGTGGATACGATTAAAATTACAGTTAGTTCCCAAACCGTTATCTCCTGATTGAAATGAAAAACTAGTGCATTGATTAAATATATGAATACTTACCCCCGGACGGCGTTCAGAATACTTCAGGTCTTGGGTGTCCAATACAAAAAATCTCTCCTTGTAGTTACAAGGTGATGTTCTTTTCTTTTGTTGAGATTTTTTGATCATATTTCCCTTCAAAATCACCCTGGGGAACATGGTAACAGCTATGAACAACACAATGAGAAACACTGGAGGGTTTGAGCTTACAGGGAGAGAGAGAGTACCTCGCAGTGACAGAAAAGAAAAAAAAAAAAAAGCAGTGGATTGTTCGACCTGATAGAAGCCGTGGAGCTTCCGGCATAGAGTTGTTGCATTGAGTAAACCACATCCTTATGGCAGAAAATGGGTTGTGCAAGCAAACAAACACTCATACACACACATGTACACACACACACACACTATACATACGCTCACATGTACTTTCACTGACAATGTTGCAATAAGCCAATGTGTTGAGTGTGCAGTAGTAGGAGGGAGATTCTTTAATCTTGGTAGTTTTGAACATTATCCACCAAATTATGCATCTTAAAGGGAAAGACTACATCCTGGTAATGATGATGAAACTTTAAGTAGTAATGTAAAAATTGAACAAAGGTGTTCATTTAACAAAAAAGCATGAAACCAGATTTCACTACCAAAGCAACACTTTTTAACACTATAAACACACTTGAAAATAGTTTTGCTTAACCTGCTATATGTATCAAAAATGAGGAGCTGCTTTGTTGCTGCCATAATGAAGATTTAGTATGTTATACTATGTAATATATATAATATATAATACTATATAATATTGATTATGTAACATTTTTTTGCCGATAAGTTTTTATAATTTTCAATGTTGTTTCTTTTTTTATAAATCCTCATTGTTACATTTTCTGATGCTGCATATATATTTGTGAGTTGTTTCTGTTTTCTTGTCTTTATAATCTCTCTCTCTATTACAGTAATCACAGACAAGCAAAAAATGATTCTATTTGTACTGGGATTGTTAGAAAACCATTCATTATCGCTTCAAGCAACAACAGTGTCGGGCTAAAAGGGTAATTTAAAACATTTTTTGAAAACAGTGGTAAGAGTAACCCACTAAAATCTGAGCAAGTCCGAGTTCAATACTGAAGCAATTCATCCTGCAGAAGCAGTTTAATGGATCCTTCAGCACCACAATCATGAAAATTGTTCCTACAATTTATAAAGTTTTGGATGAGACTAGAATCCCATTTAGGTGGCACATTTTTGTCAAAAGAAACAGAAAATGGGTATAATGTATGAAAATTAGGGTTGAGGAAAAAAAACATGCTTAGCAGTGTTAAAAATATTTCTATTCAATACTTGTATTTGTACTATTTTGGAACATTTATTTGTTCTATATTTTAAGTGCAAACGTTTTATCTTTCATAATCAATTTCCTGTTGAGTTCTGCTATCAAACTAGTACAAAATTCAAATTTTTGAAAACTAAAAAACCAAAATCCTTTATGAAGGAGTCTGCTGTGGGTTGGAAAATTAAAAGGAATTTTGTTGCGTCTGAGCATTTAACAAAGAGAGGAGATTGCAGTGGTATGTCCATACGGTTAGTCTGTGTGTGTGTGTGTGTGTGTGTGTGTGTGTGTGCGCGTGTGCATGCGTGTGGGAGAGAGAGAGAGAGAGAGAGAGAGAGAGAGAGAGAGAGAGATAGAAAGAGCAATGCCAACATTATACAAAAAGATAAATAGGAGGTGGAAAAGACAAAATGTATATGACAAAAACAGTTTCCACAAAAGATCAATTTTCAAAACAGATAACAGAAACAGACATATAGAAGATTGGAGCATAACTGCAACAAACACATACGTGTAAAGTTTTCATTTAGTTTAAAGCTTTATTAGGTGGGACATTAAATGTAAATATGATATATTTTTATTTGTCTTTTAATATCTATTTTACAGGGTGTCTTTTCTAATACATTTTTAGTTCAGTTCAGTTTTACTGTGAATTTCTAATTTCATTCACTCTGGAAAGCACTTAGTGCTTCTTGCTTGTGTTCTAAAAATATACTATTGATATTATAATCATAATACTATCATTATTAGCTGTAGTAGTACTAGTAGTAGTAGTAGTAGTAGTAGTTTTGTTGTTGTTGTAGCAGTATCATTGCTGTTGTTACTATTATAGATTTTTCCTCATACGAAGGCAGTTTTATCAAGAAAATCTTTGGCGTTGCCTAATGGCATAAAAATGATTGCAGGTGTTGACGAGGTGATATCTGTTGTACAAAAAGTACAAAATATAATTTCACATAGTACGTAGTACAGAGTATTTTAAAATATGCGTTAGAAATTACTGTAACTGAACAGTTAAATGCACCTTTTATTACAATAGAGGAGATACATGTTTTCTAATCACCAAGTTACAAATTAACAGTAAACAGAAATGTACCTTTCGGGTTGCATCTCTACAATTTCATATGCGGAATCAATCTATCTTTGATCAAAAACCATTAACAAATTACGACCAATCAGCACTTACTTTGTTCGTCACGAGCACAGTTCAGCCAATGGAATGAGGACAGAAACGAACGTTCAAGTCAGTGAATGGAAGGAGCTAGGGTTGTCCTGAGCTAATTGCCCGACTAGCCTGTATACCTTTGTTACATTTTACATCTTTTATCTATATTTACCAACTGGGGGTCGTTTAAGAGGTATGTAGAAATATCACCACTGCCTTTTCATGTGCCTGTGTTGTTCGTTAGCTTCAAATTTGATGTAACGGCGTAACTCGCTGGCAGAGGTTAGCATCAATACTGGTAGCCTGCTAGCAGCCACAGTGCTAGTTGGCTAACTCTATGTTTGCCTTTCAAACGCTACCAGCTTCTACGTCTGGCTGTACAATGATGACCTAACATATTCAAAAATGTCAACAAAGGATTTAGACAACAAATTACAGAATCAGCTCGTCAATTATTAGGGCGGACAGTCGCTAATGTAACTAGCGTCGCTTGCTTGTTATTTTAGCCTTCACCCCACAGACGACTAACAGGGTTACTTCGTCCTTAACCCACTTTGTTTATATGGGGAAGCAGCCAGATGTTGCCCCGATCCTCAAGAAACACACAAATAGAACTACATTACAATTTAATGCAGAGGTGCAAACTAAGTAGAGAAGCATTTAGGTAGGCTACAATTTTACGGTAGCATTACTGGTACAGTACTTGAGTAACATCTCACAAATGGTGCACCTTGATGATGTTGTCTACAACGTTTAAGAGCTAAATATAGTGCGTTTTACTCCATTATTTTTTTTGTGACAGTTGGTTATTTTGCACATTAATATTTTTCCATACAAATTAAAGGAGAAGCTCATGAAACAGAGCTCTACTATAAATCAAAACCCCCACGACTACATGAGCTAAGATAAAACCTCTTGACTTACCAAAACAGTAAAAGATAAGCTTACTTACATATTTCTGCATTAATATTTTTTTTCATAACTGTGAAAGTGGCCATTGGTTATATATAGTATTGTAATATGTGTTATATATATATATGTAATATACTTGTATACTTAAAGTAGTTAAAATTGTACAGAGCAAACACAGCACGCTTTCAAAACCCACAACTGGTGTACAAAGTGTTACTTATTTCTTCTTTACTAAAGTAAGATCTTGTTTTGTTTTGCTTGGTAAAGAAATCAGACTGATTCACATTTTTCACTGTTTCAGGTCTGCATCATGGGTGAACCACAGCAGGTTAGTGCCCTGCCTCCTCCACCTATGCAATACATCAAAGAATACACAGATGAAAACATCCGTAAGGGTTTGGCTCCCAAGCCACCTCCGCCCATCAGAGACAGCTACATGATGTTTGGCAACCAGTTCCAGTGTGATGACCTCATCATTCGGCCTCTAGAGAGCCAAGGCATTGAGAGGCTCCATCCTATGCAGTTTGACCACAAACGGGAGCTTAAGAAGCTCAACATGTCCATTCTTGTGAACTTTCTGGACCTGCTGGACATCCTTATCAAGAGCCCTGGTAGTATAAAGCGTGAGGAGAAGCTGGAGGATTTAAAGCTTCTGTTTGTTCACATGCACCACTTAATAAATGAGTACAGGCCACATCAAGCCAGAGAGACACTGAGGGTGATGATGGAGGTGCAGAAGAGACAGAGGCTAGAGACAGCTGAGAGGTTTCAGAAACATCTGGAGAGGGTCGTGGAAATGATACAGGGGTGCCTCGCCTCCCTACCTGATGACTTACCACAGATGGAGGGTCCAGATGGAGCTGGTGATGGGACAAGGGGTGTCTCTGCAGCAGCGAATATTGGTTGTTCTTCTGGGCAGGCCCCCAGGCTGAAAAGTGAACCGATGGATGTAGAGGAAGCAGGTGCCAGCTGTATGGCAGTAGGTCAACAGGACAAGAGCGTCCCTACTTCAAAGAGAGACAAAATATGGGACAAGGATGCTGCTATGTGCAGTATTATTGATGAAATTGCTTAAGTTTTATGTTGATTAGCCATGTTTCTTTTCTGTAAATCTAAATTGTGTTTGTTATTTTGTATGCTGTACTTGGTGTAAGTATGGAGAAGTTTGCTGTGCTTTCACTGGGCCTGTTATCCTTTCTGGGATGGTGTTTTATTTCAAAGCTGTCATGTAGATATTATTACCACTTCCTGTTAAGATATTCAAAGAATTTAAATACCACACAGATCAATTGGGATGCCAGCTTTCAGTTTTTGTAATAAAACAATTTTTTAAAAATCCAATTGTAGTAGGAGTGCAATGCTGTCACAATCACATGGTGATATTTTAGTTGCCTGCAAGTAATTTGCAGGGAAACTGCATCGAATCACTTGGAATTCTATGTGCTTGAATGCATTATATGCATTGACCTTTCACATTTGCAAAGCATTAAGTTCTGTCACTGTGACTTGCACAGTCTCAAATCTAGTGAGAGTGGTCAGGGAAACACCAGTATGTCAGTATGTATCTATAGTCTAGTCCTTGTATAGAAGAGAGTTTCTCTAGTTTTTCAATTAAAAGGATAAATAATATTTTATAATATTTTACTAAAGCCTGTTCCAACATCTGATGAGTAATTGGCACTTGGGAAGCAAATTCATTACTTAATATTGTTATTTTATATGTTCATGTACATGCCGTATAAAGCATGTATTTCACACTGATGTCTGTGTTTGGCGATCTGCAGATTCTAGCCTTATTTCACTGACCCTTAATGGCTTGCATGAGAAAGGTTCCTCCTGACATGCACTGAATTGTATAACAGATGTACATAGGTTTTGTTATAAAACTGTTCTGCAGCATTGTCCTGCTATGCCCAAAACCACAGAAGACAGATTTTTTTACTAACTGCAATTTCAGCCTCCTGCAGTTTGCATTTCTACAGGACCTCCTGAGCCCCTTGTTTGCATTGCAACATGTAAATTTACACATGGCTTATTTTTTAGGATATGTAAGTAAAAAGTGTACGAACGTAACTGGGTTTATGTCACAGGCCTACCACCCCGCCCCCTGGCTATTATTATTATCATCTGCTGGGATTCCCTTCATTGTGACAAGGTAATTTCTATCCAATGCAGTCCTGAGTTTAATTGTCATCATCATAGTGACAAGACGCACCAGATCATCAACACATTTGCCCCCTGGACGTTTCATTAAACCGAATAAAAAACTAATAAGTTTTGTCGCAGGAATTATGTTATGAAACTCGGCATCCTTGGGTTTCACAACAGGGCGGAGAGCCATCCCTTCGGCCAATCGGATTGCGCGTTGCTGCGTCACGTGGTCTTTATTTATGTAATGTAATGGTGTTATACGGTAACCCAGCTTTTGTAGCAGTACATACGTTGCTACAGGGGTTAAAAGCGGACACTGGCTACTAAATAGAAAGCACATTAATGTGTAAGTACTCTGCTCTGTTTCGTGTGGCGTTTATGGAGTTTGGAGCGGCGCATTGGACTGGAAGATGACTTTTTTTATATTCAACCTGCTTGAAAAGGGAAGATGTTATGTGTCCCAAACCAAAGACTAAGTTAGAGCTGAAAATGGATAATGTCAGTTTTATACGAAAAGGACATTTGTGAGGTGAGCATATGAGAGCTGATATTAGCATTAGCCTAGCTGGACATAAACCGGTCGGGTTCGAGCAGACGTGATATAAGAGGGGACACATTTACTGTATCGCTGGCTGCTGGTGCGTGATTTAAATGGTCCATGCACTACCACTACACAGAAAAGCTTCTCCGTCTACGTTGCTTCGACGAAAAAAGCAGCCTTTCCTCCCACGGTACATTGTTTTAGTGACATAACCCATCCAACCATGGATCTGCTGGAGTGTCCTCTCTGTCTCTTCCTGATGTGCGAGCCGGTGACCATGTCGTGCGGTCACACGTTCTGCCGGAGGTGCGTCGGGGGGCACCTCCCGTCCAAATGCCCCGCGTGCAATGTGAGGCTAAAACAAAGAGAGGTGAAAGGCATGAAGAACAACGTTTTGCTCATCAGTGTCGTTGAAAAGTGCTGCCCCGAAGAGACCAGAATGAAGTGCCATATACAGGAGAAGCTCAAAGCCAACGAGTTCGTGGAAGCTTTAAGCATCACAAATGACGGGCTAGACTTAGGTAAGGGACGCATGCAAGACACCATCACAGCTGCAGACACAACAAAAGTTTCTCTGATGTCCACTCAGGTTCACTGCTGAAAAGATGGGCTACTGGTATGGATATAAAACATATTTACCTAAGATCACATTGCCATTAAACAAGAAGGCAGACTAGTTTGGAATCCCACGTTTGCGCACTGCACACAAGCTTGGCTGATTCCCAGTGACAGCATCCCTTTCACAGAACAGAGCACAGTAGTGAGATACAGTCGTAATGACAGAAAATACAGGAAACTTGGTGTCTCAAGGATTTACTGTATCTACTGTCAAATGCTATTGATGACCCAAATATATAACTGGGTCAGTTATCTCTCTTTTGATGCTCCTCCTTCCTTGTTAGGTTTACAGCCAGAGCCTTGTTTTCCTCTGTGTGCACATTGAACCACTTAGGCAAAACAACAAACACTAATGTTTTGAACAGAATAAGAAACATGCAATGAAAAAGTTAACATGCATCAGTTTGGTGTTTAATTTTCCCTTCTGTCTTAGTCACACACCGTATAAGAAGTAGTAATAACATCTACAACAGCTGTTGTCTGGGAAAAATACTGGACACAGGCTGAGCCAATTTCTGTTTTTAGAACAGCTTTTCTGTGCATTTCTGCAGTCTAAAACTCATGCACTGTAAAGAGGGGAATGTAAAGAGGACGTTGTGTAATATTTTCATAGCTTAGAGGATGCCTTAGATTCCTAGAACCAGCTTTGCAAACAGAACTTTTCTGATACTTCATCTGTGCAGTCACTTATCTTCTGCACTTGCCTTTGTTGCTGCAACTGACCTTATTTTCTCCATGCAGCAGTGAGAAAGCAAAAGGGACAAATTCTGCCCTAGATGAGTTTATCTTGTCAGTAGGCGTCCTGGGGATCGTAGGAGTGTTCAGTGAATCAACGTACCGTTGAGTTAACCTACATGTTTGCCATCTCTGCCAATCCAATTAAACACTGCTGCTTACCTTCCTCCAGCGCTTTCCTTGTGTAATGATTTCCTGGCAGATTTCTGTGTGGCAGTTAAAAGGTTGCGCCTGCTCATTTTACTTCAAAGATTTCATAATGTAGGCATTGTCAAGCCCTGAGACTGTGCCTGTAATTAAAGCTTTTGTATATAGTAAATAAACATGACTAGAGCAATGGCGTCAGGAAATAGTTATTCTTTGAGCCTTGAATACACTCACACACATATTGTAGCAGATGAATTGAGACATTTCATTTACTGGACACACAAACTGAACATAGATTGTACATGCTGGTTGAACTTCACTTTCAGTTTAAAGCGGTGGGTGAAAACATGAAAGTTTAATCTTGTATGTCACGGATACTGGAATGGGAAGTGATTGTACATGTACTACATATATGTAGAATTATGTACACATATAAAATCTTGGGAGTTTGGCCTCTCCTGTTTACAAACACATCAATCCCATTTTTATTCTCTCCAGTTCTAGGACCTCTTTTTTTAACCATTAACCAATACTTTGTACCAGTCTTGCACCTACATTGTTTTAGACTTGTGTAAATGTTAATTATATTGTTCTATTAAGCTTATAAAAATGCCATTGTCATAAATTCATAGTGACAGTGTCTAAGAAGGAGCATTTGATGGGGATCAGTTGCATCTTGACAATGCATTATCAGTTCAGTAAGGTCAATATCAGCACCAATAGTAATCCAGCACATCAGGTCACATGTTTTTAAATGGATTTCTGTCATCTTCCAAGGAAAACAGCACTACTTGTTATGCATGCTGTTTCCTATAGTACCTGTCAGTACGTGTTTGTTGTTTGCATTCAGAGAGCTGTGTAAAGGTGGGTCTAAGCATTGAGGCCTTGCCTCTTCAAAATTGTATAAGGTTGCAAGAGTTTTGTCTTGTCTCTTTCTCCCTCTCTTACTCTCACTCCTGTTTCTTGTGTCCTCAGTCCCAGACGATCAGAGTTTGAAGGTGTACAGAGCTGAAGCTAACTGGGGCCTGTTGCGTTTCACTGACGCTCTGACAGACCTCGACTACCTCTGCTGCCTTCGTCCCAACTGGACTGAGGTGAGAGACTAGACAGTTTTGGCCAAAGACATTATGTCTCGCTTTTATGGTGTCTTTTTTCCCCTACACAGCATGAACAAGTCTGTTGAACTTCCATGAACAATACTAAATTTAAAGCTGTCATTTCACTTCAGAACACCTCTGTGCAAGTCTTTGCTGAATTTATCCGCAGATGCGCGTCATGGGCTGGTTTTGTAACATGCATGTAACAGCACAAATAGAACCACAGAAGAAAAGGTGCTGCCTTTTTTTATTTATGTTGTTATGTTTTATCTTAGTGTGACCAGCTGACCTCTTTAGAGAGATTTTCTCTTTATTGATGTTATGTCATTCGCAAAGTTATACAAACAGCTACTTATGTCATAATGTCATTTAATCACTTCGTGTCAGTGGGTGGCTCACTGCTAATGCAGGAACGCCTACTGTACATATTCATTTATATTGTGTCCTTTTATTTCCAGAGATATCACTTGTAAATTTCACATTATATTTCATACATTATGCAAATGACTATCAGTGCAAAAGGAAGCAAGAACCAAATAAATATCATCATACTGCAACATCATTTGTATAAACTTTTTGATGGGGTTGTGTTAGAAAATTTTTATGTTCTTTGCAAAGAGACTTTACATGTGTTGTGCACTTTTACATGCAGTGATGTGCTGATTGCACTGTTGTGTTTGGGCAGGGCTTCTTTCGTAAAGGGAATGTACTGCTGGAAATGGGTCAGCAGACAGAAGCTCTCATCCAGTTCCACCATTGCCTAAAACTTCAAGCTGATTTTGCTCCTGCAAAGAGCCAGATCAAGAAGGTTCGTTTACATCACTGAACGCTCATCATTTCAGTCTAATTTCTGTTTGTGTTGGGTTCTTGTAGTGTGAATTTATCTTCCCTTATATTTTATTATCTATCACTATTATTTGTAGTTGTGGTGGTAGGAGCAAAAGTATTGATACAATTTTTTTTAAAACTACCACAATTGTGTTATTCAAGCATCATAAAAAATATAAACTAGATTACATGCATTTTACATGCAACATTTTGAAATTACAACAGCAATCTAAGCCACATTTGATTTTTAAATGTATTCCCTTTCACAAGTTTGATTTTCATCACCTTCTTTCATTCAGTCTTAGTCTACAGTGCTGGTGAAACACATTTATCTTCATACTTTAATGTGACTCATTTGAGTTGTGAAATGGATTGAAATGGCAGATCCTGGAGGCAGAGGGCATGACAGTGCCGGAGGAGGTGTCCTGCATCCTGCAGGTGGTGTCAGAGTACTTGAAAGAGCCCTGTCCCATTACCAGCCTCAGCGGCTCGCAGGGGCCGACCCACCCTGAGGGCCTCAAACATCCACCTGGAGAAGAGGGAGAGGGTGAAGGCAGGAGAGACGCACACCAGGTAAGCTGGTTAGGAGAGTGCACTTCACTGCTTTGATTTGGAGGTGTTACAATGTAAATATAACCCCAACTGATCAAACTGTGTCTTGTGGGCTCCAAGGTGAAACATGATACAGGTACTGAGTGCTGCCTCAGCCTCTGCCAAGCTGTTTCCTTCCTCCCTGCTGCTGAAGAGGACGAGGAGATGATGATGAGGAAAGAAGAAGGGCATGGCAGGGGTATGCTGACACACTCAGGACACACACTTCTCATGATTTGACTGTCATCTTCTTCATCACCGTCATCTGTCATTGTCACTACAAACAGCTTTACCATAACATCCAACAGATGGTTTAAAATTGCCACCTTCGTCCTCTTCTTCTTCTTTCTCCTTAGTAGTGTAAATTCACCATAAAGCTTGAAACTGACTGTTTTGTGTCCTCTCTCTCTTTCAGGTGAAAGTAGTCACCGCAGAGGGAAAACTCTGGGTGTTCTCACCGTGTCGGACTTTGAGTGCCCTCTCTGCATTAGGTCAGTGTCCTGGAGTACTCGCTCCAATCAATAATGCATTGCTGTCTGTACCTTGTCTTCTGTAGAGCTGTAGATCAGGCTGAGTGTGTTCTCGCTTTCCTCTCTCTGGTTAATGTACACAAATAATCACCACTTACATCTCCCGTACAAATAGCATGAATATCCTTCCTCTGCAAGGCTGTTTTGACTAAAGCGCATGTCTTTCTCTGTTTCTCTGAAGGTTGTTTTTTGAACCAGTCACTACTCCCTGTGGTCACACCTTTTGTAAAAACTGCATAGAGCGGAGTCTGGACCACAACCTCCGCTGTCCACTCTGCAAACAGCCACTGCAAGAGGTAACCACCTACAGACACTTTCATATGTCTATTTTCAACTGAATGGAAAAAGGCCCTGTTTTTAGCTCGTGAACATCTCCACTTTAAAAGCTGATTAATTATTAAAATTTTTGCCACCTGGTTGTGGTCTTCAGAAACCAAATTTAGCTCAGTCAGGGTCAGATGGATCTCACTGCTCTGTTTTAACTCTGTGACAGCTTGGTAAAAATGATTTTCTACTCATAAACCTGTCATCTGTTATCAAATTCACATTAAGTTAGAGGACAAGAGAACTTCCTGGTTCCTCATTCCCATGTTTTACTTGTGGTAAGTGATCACATATATAGATATGAACTGATTGTGACCTCATAAAACAATGCCTTGAAGGCATGTCTTCAAAAACTTTTAATTGGACTCAAAGATGAACTGATAAAATTTTGGTTTCAAAGGTCAAGATCACTGTGATCACTCCAAACATGTTCTTAGCTATAACTCAAGAATTCACATGCTAATTAACCCGGGGCTGGTTGGCACAGGCATACAACCCCAAAGTGGTAATTCTAGTTGTACTGTTAGAACACAATGAGAGTATTTATATTATTGTGTATGACTGCTGACAACCTGCTCTCACTCTACTCTTCAAAGTACTTCAAAAACAGGAAGTACAACCCCACAGTTCTTCTTCAGGACATCATGACCCACCTTTTTCCCTCCCAGTTGGCCGAGAGGAAACAGGTCCATGATGCTGAGATGGCTGAACTGTCCAAGTAGGCACCTCTCATTCCAACATAATACAATCTACACTCAGGATTTATTGTAGCAATCCTCTAGACTCTCTCACTGATTTCTCCTCTGTCTCTTCCTATGCAGTCTTACTAAGGACATCCCTATATTTGTTTGCACGGTGGCCTACCCTGGAGTTCCCTGCCCCCTGCACATCTTTGAGCCTCGGTATCGGCTGATGATGCGTCGCTGCATGGAGACTGGCACTAAGAAATTTGGCATGTGCAGCTATGAGCACGGCAAAGGGTATCCAATACACAGAAACACCCTTCATATTTCTCTTTAACATAGATATTTTGTTCAATTACCCAGAGCAACCTACTTGTGGATTTGGGTGGATAATAATGTGCTAAATTAAGTGACCTAAAAATCTAACCAGATTTGAAGTTAGATAAAGTCTCTTTGCATTTACACATGTGTTTACAGTTATTTTGACAAGACTCTCTGGGCATGGAGAGACCATGTTTTTCTAACAGTGAAGCACACAGCAAGCTACGTGGAGCCTGACGATTGTCGGTGGTACAGCACAAGCAGGCAGCACAGCGGGCAAAGCTTAAATCAGTCATACAGTATGTGACCCTGAGGGGGTGGAAAATAGCAGCATGGTCACCAATCTGCCATGAGATCTGCTGTGTATCTTCATCCTCCACGAAATATTTTGTGCTAGTCCCACTATATGTTGTCTTGGTATCAATTTCACATCAGGGTTATTGATATCAAATTAAATTATAAATATAATGTTGTATTTAAACATTTCATTTCTGTAGATCATTATATTGATTGTGTAATTTTTTTAAAATTCTGTTGAAGTCATTTATCATCAGTCATCTTTCAAACTGAGGATGTTGATGATCCCTAAAAAAAAGCACAAAATATAAAAAAGTGAATAAACTCTTTGCACTACAGTGCCCATTTTTTGAGTAATGTGGCAAATATTACATTCAAATATGTTTTGAGTTGTACAAACATAAGATTCATCCTTTTGTCTCATGTGCCGCAAGGTTTGCAGACTATGGCTGTATGCTGGAGATCCTCAGCCTGGAGCTGCTTCCTGATGGACGGTCCTATGTGGACACTGTGGGTGGCAGCAGATTCAGGGTGCTCAAGAGAGGTCAGAGAGACGGCTACCACACCGCTGATATAGAGTATCTGGAGGACCTCAAGGTCGGCATCTTGAAATCACAAACTATACCAACACTTAAATAAGATACACACTGAAAATGTTACTGCTAGACAACTTGATCAGTGGATCTCTCTCTCTCTCTCCCCCTCAGGTTGATGGCAGTGAGTTGGAGCTTTTGCAGCGCCTCCATGACAGTGTGTACCAGCAGGCTCAGGACTGGTACCAGCGCCTGGGTAGCCGCATTCGTGAGCAGATCAACAGACAGTACGGCACCATGCCAGATAAGGATGGAAACATTCAGGTTGGGGCTTTAATGTTGTGGTGACAATAGCTGTAACCCTTCACCTCTACAACATCCCATGTCCACTAAACTGTGTTGAATGTTACACATTAGCCAGTCCTGTTGTCCACTGCTGAAATGATAATGTTTCCTTAGTGACTATAGTAACATTAAAAAACAGGGGTCATTTCTTCTATTATTTACCATAATTATTATTATTATTTATGTAGGTCTTTGCAAGTGTTTTCTAACGTAAGGTTTTCCACAGTCGTGGCTAATTGGCAAATTTTAATCCATTTAGTACAAATCATGTATACATTACTGCTAACCAAAGCCCCCCATTGTTTGTTTTTAATTCATAATTTTGTTTCACCTGTGCTCCAGATAGCCACTGTTCCATTAATTGCAGTATGAAATGATTTCCAGAGATTTCAGACTTGTTTTGATTGGTCATTCTTTACACAGAAATAATATGTTCTTTTATTTTTGTCAAAGCTCAGTCATTGTTTTGTTCTAATGGAGTGCAGTCTTTTCCAATCAAACTGCACTCAGACCTCCATCGTGGCACAGTGGTAACATTAACTTTGAAACTAATAAAAACTGACATTATGTTCTTCAAGATAGGATCTATGTGAGCTGCAAGCTTTCACTGAAATAATTGGAAATCATCAATTGTATGATTTCTAGTTGAGGAAAACACAATTTAGAAATTGAAAACATCACAGTGTGCTTGAAAAAGAGAGAGCAGTAATTTCAAGGGATTTATCCTAAAAAGACTAATTGGATTGTATAGTACTGAAGGCATTTTCATGATAAACGAGGTTATATGTTTCTGTTGTAACTGTCTTATAGGCTTCGTCCAACGGCCCTGCCTGGTGCTGGTGGCTGCTGTCTGTCCTCCAGCTGGACCCTGCCTATCAGACCACCGTTCTGTCTCTGACCTCACTCAAAGACCGCTTGGGACACCTCCGCCTCGTTCTTGAGTACTTCTCTCAGAGCTAGACCCCACAGCACAGTGGTACTGACTGTGGCTCCAGCCAGCTGAGAGTCAAATATTACGCACACACAGACAGATGGAGTGAAACCAATGAATGCACTCACACCATTGAGTCTGGGGGTTGGGTTTTTTGGACTACTCTGAATCATAGAGGGACTGTTAAAGTCACAGCTCAAGGCCAAATCACCTGGTCAAAAGCAGAAAGATAGTTATCTTATTTTAAAACATGGAGCAGTTGTACAGGGGTGGATTTATGCTGTTTGAGTTTGCATTTGTTATCTTTCTTACACCATTTTCTTCCCTGGGAATTCAAGAGGTTTCAGAATAGTTTCTGAAAACACACTGTACTTGCTGTACCAGCAAGAACTGCATGACTAACCAAAGATGCTTCTTATTTAAGGTCATCAAAAGTGGTTAATTATTATTTGTGGATAAAGGAAATCTGCTCATTTTCTAAAAAAAATTACTGAAAATCTACACTAGGTGTCACTGTTTGTCCAATTATTACAAACATGAAGAACATGCTACAGCATCAGCCAAGCTATTGCAGTATACTGTACTGCCATGTGTTGCTTATTCAAATAAGACTCTTTGCATTAACGTAGCTAAGTTTGGAGTGAGAATAAAAATTGATAGCACTAAACAATTTGTATAGAATTTTTCAAGACTTTGCACATCAGAGGATTATCCATGTGTTGCAAGTAATCATTTTGGATCCCCTGAGTGATTGTTGTTTCCTGGAGGTGATGCTTGCATTTTAGTTGCATTTATTGGCCTTGATAGCGATTGACTGTGGCTTACTTTATGCTATTGAGTAATCTTACAAGATCCCTATTAAGTATTAGTAAATATTGCAATAATAAATTGTAGTGTCTCTTGGAATGGCGGCAACTGGAGGATGTTTTTTAATGTATGAACTGTCTTTGGATGCTGTTTGTCATCATCTGATGGTAAAAAGTCTTCTGTGTAATTCTGAAAATGAGGAGATGGGGTCAGTGAGTGGAAGATTCAAGTGTACCAGCATTGTTTTACAGTATGAACCTGTGTGATCATGTGTGTTGATGGTCAGGTATGGATGCAGCACTGTATGCATGTGTGTCCACTGTTAAAGAAGGAGTCATTTTTGTCCGTCGCCATCTTCATTAGCTTATGTGTAGGCCACAACACCTACCTCTGGCCTCTACCATGTCTCCCTGTCTGTTTGGCCTCTAACACCAGTCATGGTGCCTCTGAGTGCCTGGGCCAACTCGCCTGGAGACCTGCAAGTCTTAGAGTTACTCCACAATACAGAGGGTGGACTGTGTGATTTTTGCCATTGACTCTCATTGATATAGTGCTACATTCCATAGAATGTTAAAGCTGCAATGATACATGTAGTTAATTTACTAACAAATACGGGCTTAACTGGGTGAAACGAGAGAGCTTATGTTTGTGTTGTTTTTTATTTTGATAAATGTGCCATAAATATTTCCATGTTATGTGTTTTATAGGGATAGGTAGCTGAATAGTAACTGTGTTTATGTTTGTCTACATCACAGACTCTGACTTTTCTGGCTTTCAATCTCACACTTTGTATGGTGGACAGTGAACTACCATTTTGTCATGGCCAACATATCACTTTAAACAGTCAGAATTAGTCCAAACACACATAAAGAAACACTACAATTAAGCGTGATATTGTATATATAGCTTAAAATAAAAGGGGTAATAGAGAGACTTGATACGCACAAAAGTGTCCCACTGAAGGACAAACTAATGGACAGAGATGGATACTGGAGCAGCATTGGTTTCCTGAATAACAGGCTAGTCTCTGAACTATGACTTGGGAACTAATATTTACTTGAGGAGAACAAACACCATTTTTACCATCTCTTATAATGGGCGAATGGATTTTGAAATTTTTGAATCCATCAAGGAATAAGATCAGAGTCTGAGACTTTAATGTGCCAGTTACCGTGACATTTTTCCAAAGCTTTTGACACTGAAAAATGGCAAGCATCACAAAGGTCAGTTTCCTGCTACTAGACATGATTTAAGCTTATTCAAATCAAAAAGGGATTGAAATTCTTATAGAATTTTTTTTGAATGACCAGCCTCATGAGCCTTTGTGGTAAACACATGACAGCAATACGAGTCTATGGCCACTGAGGCAGATTTCACTCCCTTCTCACACTTCTTGTTAGACAAAACCATATTTTTGCACAGTGAAATGATTTTGTGTGTTTTGCTTTCTGATGCTCAGCTGCAGTCTCCCACACATTTTCTCTGTTTTTCAATCATTTCTGTGTATCACTGTCATTACTTAAAGATACAGCCTTTCAATGAATAAATTGGTGATGCTCTGTATGTTGATCACAGCGGACGGTCTAACAATGGCTTAACTTTTATCTCTGCACCTGTGTGCTTAAATGCTAAATATATTTGACAAATCAATTATTTCACCCCTTTGTTTTTGAACTATTTGTCAACTTTGAGTTAAATTTGCCTGTAATCTTTTAATAGGTTCAGTGTCAATGTTGCTGATGCATTTTGCCCCTTTTAATCCTTTGGCAGGCGTCCGTTAGCCACAGTTGCAGTATAATTAACTATCAGAAAATGTCCTCCAACACAGTTGAAACATTTTGCACTGAAACCACATTGTCTCCAATACAGAACACGGAGCATAGTAAGTGACTCGTTCTTGGCAGCAATCCCCCGTGATAACGAGTCTTACACTTGTGTACTTGGCAAAGGCTGTGAAAAGCACAATGGTTTCCTGCTATGTGCTGCAGCTTTGCAGGAAACGTTGGCTGATGTGGTCTGATGGTCAGTGGTCTGTGGGCTGTGTGTAAGACTACAGACATGCCTGCTGTTCTCTGCACAAATACCTCCACACTAGTATATTTAAACCCAGTGAAATTGACACAGTTTCTAGCCTGTCGATTTATTTGTATTCATTCCTCCACCTCCCAGTCAATAGCAGTAAATTACCTTGATCTGATTATTATTTATTTGCTTGCCCCATGGATGACTTTTTAAATGTTATTATAAATAAAGCTTATCAAAGCAAATCCTGCATTATCTTCATTTAATGTGCCTGTTCTGTGTCTTAGTGATTTGAATGTTATGCCACCAGTATTTTGGTCATTAAGGTGATTATTACAAGCCAAATGGAAGTGGTGCGATCTATTGCAATTCACAGCATGAGAGAAATTGGTACAGAGGAGGGGTGATGGGAGTGAAACATGCCTCACATACTGATAGAAAGACACTTTGGCATGGAAACAGTTATAATTACTGGGAGAATTGTGAAGTGCTGCAGCTGCAGCAGAATGAAAGAAGCCTTCGGTTTGCTCTTGTGGATAGGAATTAAAATTAGGATGGATAGAATGGGTATTCCCAGTGAATGTCCAATTGGATGATATATTTAGATTTACTGCCAAGACTTTTCATAATATAATAGCAGAGAAATGGCAGGGGTTACAAGAACAAAGTATTTTTATTGATTAGAGGGGCACGTGTCTGGAATAGCATCTTTCTGGTGTAAAGTTGTAAACAGTTACTTCTTATCTAATACAACCAGTTTGTAATCTGAGAGGAAGCTACTGTAAAGTGTGGACCTTTCAAAAGCACAAGCAAAAAAAAAAATGTGAACAAATCTGAAAGTCTGTAAACACATGTTATGAACAAAGTTTCCACCAGGGGGCAGTCTGTAGCTGTGGAAGAATAATAGAGAGTTGCACAAATGGATTCACACTTTACAAACAAGAAGAAATCTCATGAGAATGTGGCTTTTCCATTTTATACAAGCTCACAGTGATCATGTTAGTGTCACAGATCAGGTCAAAAGGTAGAATCTGGCTGGCAGGGAGAGCGAAGCATGAAACAAGCTGAGAGGAAGTAGTCATTTCCCATGCAGCTACAAAAAGAAGAGAAATTAGAGAAAGTGAAAAAAAAGGACACGTGAGTGTTGTCGTGCATGAGCTACACTCCTCTCCGAACAAGAAGGGAAAAAAAAGAAACAGCGTAGCAGAAGTGAGGCATGTTTCATGCCAACATCCTCTGCATAGGAAGCAGGCAGATGAAAAGAGGTTTCACTGGCTTCAGCGGGGTTCTGTAATGCAGCTCAGCGTCTACATCAAAGCCCATTACATTTGAAGAATGCCACAGCTTTTCTGTACTAAATTGATCCATCGGCTTGCGCTGACTCCCTGCTTGTGTATGACTGAGTAAGGATGACAGGCGTTTTGTAGGAGTTATCACAAAGGGGGGAACCAGCTGTGTGTGTCTGTGCGTGTGTGAGTGTGTGTGTGTGTGTGTTTGGATGTGTACGTGTCTGCTGTTAAAAGGACCAAATTTCCTCATAGGGATAGAAATATTTAAAAAATTCTTTCCCTAAGAGGATATTTTGACAAGTTTTTGGGTTAGAATTTAGGTTTGGGGATTAAAATTGGAATTTATGTTAAGTGAGGGTCAAGGTGAGAAATACAACAGAGAGAATGGTGTCAATATAAGTCCTCAAAAGCATATTACAAATGAGTGTGAGCATGTGTGTGAATCTTTAATAATTATCCTCCATAATTATGAAACAACTCACTTGGGTCTCCACAAAAATAGAGCAGCCTGCTCTCTGTGCAATATAGAATAACAGCAAGGGAGTCACAGAGAACATGAGAGGATGAATGCAGCTCTGTTGTCATAGGAACAAAACCCAGCCTGGCAAACCTCAATGTCAAGAGCAATATTATCAATTAGGAAATTGTGAAACTTTGAAGTGAAAAGCATCTTGTTTACCTTATGCAGCCTGAAAGACAACACACAGGGAGCTAACTCCTGCTGATATAAGTGTGGTAAATTGAAACAGAGTGAAGGGGAGAGAAAGATAGTGGCAAAGAGCTCAAGTTGCCAAATGTGTGTGTGTGTGTGTGTGTGTGTGTGTGTGTGTGTGTGTGTGTGTGTGTGTGTGTGTGTGTGTGTGTGCGTGCGTGTTCTGCACTGCTCAATGCCCCTCTTCTGTGGAGGATTACAGTTTTCAGTGTGTGTGTGTGTGTGTGTGTGTGTGTCAGTAAGTGTGGTGTGTGTGTGTGTATGTGTGTGTGTGTTTGTGTGTGTTCTCCTTTGGGTCTGAGGCTGACAAACCTTGCTTGTTTCTGTCTTTGTATAATCCCCCTGAGTGTCAACACAATGATAAACCCATGAGTATACTCTTGTGTGTCAGTGCCTCTGAGAGCCAAGGTAAACATATTGGCCACCTGCCTCTGCAACCACCATGGGACACATCAGAAATACCTTGATATAAAGAAACACAAGAGATCAAAAAGAAAAAAAAAGACATAAAAGACAAAGACACCCAGCCCAGAAAGAGGCATTGTGTTGCAGGATTAAGCAACAAAATTCTTTCCTTTCTTCTCCCTAAAGCTCCCCCTCGAAGAAGACACTTGATGATTCAAGCCTTCAACTTAAGATTTGTGAGGCATACAAAAGAATTTGACCTTCCTTGTTCCATGATTGATAGTTTAACTTGTCACAAAAGATGGGTTAGCTCCTTTGCCCCTCTAGAAAATAAATATCGGAGGCAACCCTGGCACAGATTGAGTGGGTTAGAGAGGACAAATAATAAAACATGGGAGTCCTTTTATATTCTGGTGATTTCTTGTAGAAAAAAAACAAACAAAAACAAATGAAGCAGATCGGGATCACCTACTGGGAGATGAAAGACAGGAGAAACAGGAAGTGGAGGATTGGAGCGAGGGGCACTGCAGGAGACATGATGTCATGCAACTGGCTCACTGATTCGTAGAGTTACCGCCTACTGGGACACACACCTGGCTGTGAGGCTCCTTTCAGACGGTCCTCACAGTTGTATGAAGCAACTGTGTCCATGGTCTCCATGTCTTCCTTGTTTATATATTTACGTACCTGAAGGACAGAGAGATAGAGCCAAATTAGATAAAGGCAGGTCATGCCCAAATACAGTTTGTAACAGCAATGTGAGTGTGTGTGTATGCATGTGCATTCTTGATTCTCCATCTGTATGCTGTGTTGTGTGTGCAATAGTTTTTTGAAAGTGTGTTTTAATGTGTATCCAAGGCCAGCAGTATGCTCCAGGCTAAATTAAAGCCAGTGTGTTTGTGCAGACAAAATTTTGCAACCAAAAACAGTGCCATATTTGGCTTCACCCACAGCAAATTTAGCACTACCTTTTTCTTTTTTTACCACTTGTCAACCAGTTACTTGTCAACAGTGACATCTAACTGATGTATTTCACTTAAAAAAAAAAAAAAAGTATTTATCTCTTTCCATTGTTCCTTTAAACTCTCAAGTTTCACGATCTGCACATCAAACCTCACTGACCCACCAGTGAGTGAGTCGATACAAACTCATGCCCTGCAACCAAACAGTGTTCAAGCCCCCAGAAATGTATTTCAAATTCTAGTGGAGAACCTAAAGTTTCCAAAGATACCAAACATATCAGTCTGAATTCTGTGGAAATGTGTGCAAAATGATGCGCGAGACCGCTACAATATTTCCATTTGATGGAAATGTGCTGCAGCAACAAAACAAGCTTTTAGCTGTAAAACAATGAGTCTTTGGAAATTTCACTCAGTGTGAACATCATATACTTTCAATGGAAAGTTAGAACAAACTGTTTTTGTTTTTAAATTTTGAATATTTTTCCAACCTTGAAGCTACAGAATTATTATTCTGCTAGCTACAGCGTGTTAGCATCTTTCAGCTCATTGTTTTGGTTTTACAGCCCAAAGCCTTACTGTTCACCAAATAAACTTCAACCTTGTTTCCTGTGGTAGCAGACACCTGCTATTAGTAGAAAAATAGATTCAACCAAATGTAGCCTAGAGTATATTGCCCAGCACCATACAGCAGGCAAAGTCACTGCTAGCTGGTGAACATAGAGAAAGCAATTAGCAGCTAGCCAGATACCTTTTCTCAGAGTAAATGAGAGTAAATAAAAAGTAAAATAATGTAAGTAGGCTAGTAGTGAAGTCAGTAAGTAAAATAAAAAAGGAGAGTAAATAATGGACTTACATTCATCAGGTCACCAGAAAAAGCAAATTAATGCTACTATTGCTCTGTGTCTGCTAATTGTGTAAAATGGCAACTGTTCGCTAACACATTAGCCCTATCAACTTTAGAGGGTAATATCATCTGTCAGTGCTGTGTTTACAACTTGTTCTGCAGCCTCCAAGTGGCTAAAAAAATGTATTATTACTGCCTTCAGGGAAAAAAGGGGGAACCCCTATGACAAGGGTTTAATCCAACACAACTCATGTATCTTCACATGTGCTAGCTGTGTTATATTCAAAAGCATTTCAAATTCTTTAGTGGGACCAGCACCATGAGCGTTTGATTCCTGTGAAGTAAAGAAGCAGAGAACAAGTCAAACTAGACTCTCAAAGTTTAGCAGAAGGCAAAAGATAGATATCTGCTTTAGAAAAGGATGACATGATGCTAGGAGACATATAGCAGAGATAACTTTTGAATAATCACCATCTTAATAATGAAAAACAGTGTGACAGATCATATCTACAACAAGTTCCAAGACAGTAGAGAGGATAATAATCATGATAAAGATGATGAAAGAAGGAAATAAGTAGTTGAGGGAAAGTGAGATGATGCAGTGGAAGTGGAGGAGGAGGGATTCAGGAAGGAAAAGGAGCTGAGAGGAGTGATTCAGAGGACAGTTCCGTGTGACAAATAAGCACATTTCAATAAATACACTGATATCAGTCTATTTCATCCCTTCACCTGGTGGTCATAATTTTCCCAGCGGCAAGTCATCATGGCGTTCTCACAGGAGAGCACGCCTCCCCTTGGGTGAGTTTGGGATTTAAGTTTGTTGCAAAGCAAAGGTGTGACTGGAAGATAAGGAGACGATTGAATAGAAACAGCAGAAGCCAAAGCTGTGGAGATCATATTTACTGTGGAGCCCTCGGGTCTTATCATTACAGTAAGTCCTGTAACAAAGGAACAATATCCAGCAGCAGGGGAAAGTGAAAAG